TATGTACACGCTCTCCACAAATTTATGCAGATCAATTAAAGTGCTAATGAAGCACTTGTAAAAATTTGCTGGGCTCCCCGATGTCTATGGGGTGTTTAAAGATCGACCCCCTCCCACTCACTGCTGTCGCCTGCTTACATATATACATTACTCAAACTTAAGCCAAAAGAAGTTTTTGATTTCTTTTCTTAAATATTTTATATAACTGTGGTTGGCGCAGGGATGATTCAACCTTGCAGCATTTGCAAGATTTTAAATTATGGTCTGAAATACTGTAATCAAAGACAAGGGAGGACATTTGTACTATAGAATTACAATCATTTGCCTTTTATCTACTTTTGAAATGAAACATATGGAGTTAACGAACAGTAATCAAGATTAAAAGTCCACAAAACAAAACAAAATAGGAGCAGAGCGAACACAGACCTCCAGAATATCAGAGGTTGGATCAGGTGTCATGGAAGAGTGAGCATCCCCTGCTGACCCGCCATGTGCTTTTTATCAAGATAAAATAACATTTAAAAATGTATCAAGTAAAAGATATTGAGATAACGAACAGTATTTAATATCAAAGTACATAAAACAATACAAAATAGTAGCAGAATAAACACGGACCTCTAAAACATAAGAGGTGGGATCAGGTGCCATGGAATAGTGAGCATCCCCTGCTGACCGGTCACACCCACCGTAAAGGGAGGTTTTATCCATAAACATTTGTTAACTCCATTGATATGACAACTCGAGATATTGCAAACCGTTTTGAATCTGCAATACCTGTTCCATAATTTGAATGTTTTACTGGTTATAATCGAGAAAGGCCAACCATCCACTGAGCTGTAGAACAAATGAGATGACTTCAGCTTTTCCATAGTCTATTTTCCTTATCTGCTCTCACCTGCATTTTGTCTTTGAATCTCTCAAATTTTTTGATACTCCAGACCATGGTCTAAGGACGGCGGGTTTTTTTTTCAAATGAGACTGACTACTTACAGATAAGTTTGTGTTACGGGGATAACAACAACTACGTTTAACATCAACATTCTTAAATTTTTATAGGCGATATATTGACCTTGTTAACAAGAACAACCTAGCATTGGACCGTATTTTGGCTGACGTGTTTCATACTAATTGTTAGGACCTTGTTTTTATACTACATTTAATTATGGAATTTCCCCTTCATCGATCAATCCCATAAGGATGTGACCGGTCAACAGAGGTTGCTTACTTATCCCTGTGCACCCTTTTCCACCTCTGCAATTTCTAAAGGACCATATGTTATGCTCTGTTCACCTATTTGTATTGTTTTAAGTTTTTTTTTTTAGATCGATCATAGTTTGTTATTTTCACTTTTTCACAACTTGCTCTAGAAATGATTCAGCAATTTTGAAGTACTAAATGGCATTGTATAAAGTGATCGAGTGTCATATACTGTTGTATCATATGCGATACAATGCGTTATCCTTCCCCAGTATCAGGGAAAAGTGGACAATTGTTATAAATTGCATTAAGTGAAGCTCTGAGGTTAGTACGTTTTTATGAGTACAGACTGCCTTTATGACAGTTTTGTTTTAATCATGTTATCTCTGTCATTTGGTCAAACGAAATATTCTTTGCAAGTTAGTATCTAAAAACGGAATAAATGGAGTACTGTAACTCATAATTAAATGCTAAATGAATCCAATAATATTCTATTTTCATTTCTATTGAGTTTATTAAGTATACATCCATGTATTACATTTTTATTATGATCTTCTTAGTTTTAAAAAACTGTAAACTTAATCCTTTTTTATAGATTTATCGATTCTTCAATTTAAAAAGTAAGTTTCTGCAACTGAATTTATTTAAAGAAACTTAAATTTTATTAAAAACAAGAAATTTTCCCATTAATTATATTGCTGAATACTTCTCTCGGTTGTTCATTTTTAGTCAGTCAACTCTCACGATGTAAAATTTAAAAAAAAATCAATTTTTAAAAAGCTCAAAAGCGTTTAATTAGGTGTTAATTAGTTGTAGGAGTTATAATCAATCACAAAAGATCATTAACTGTCAGAATTATCTTCACCATAATGTCAAAAATCTTCTCAGGATTTCTATGTCTGGAAATGAGTCAGAAATCCAAATAATTAAAATTTCCAAGATAACCACAGTTGTGTATTTTAAGTAGTTGGACTACATTTTTTAGTCTAGAATTCCTAAACAATTACACACTTATCGGAATAAAATGTGCATAATTTGAAAGAATGGTTAAAAATACGTTAAAGCATTCCTTGATCTTTAAAAAATGGCATTAATTTTGATGAATTTTTTTTTCGATTTCTTTTGATCTTATATCTAGTACAAAATCTTCATTGGTTTCTTGAGATTAAGATTGAGAGAAAAAGGGATGGATAGTTTAATTTCAAAAAATGCCTCATCAATTATATCTAAAACCAAAATTTTAAAAAGTTATTATTATTTAAAATTCCCATCATTTCAAAGCTTTAAAAATACTGTGTAGCTTGTTCCTTATGTATCTTCCTATTCATATCCATCTTTAGTCACACCCGGAATTCGAAAGATATTTCTTACACACATTTATTTTCAATCAAAGCATTTTACACGATATTTTTCTCACATATTAATTTGCTCTCGTACTTGCTATACACTGCTTATTAATTAATATTTTATTCATTACTGTTTTGTTTTGGGAAACTTGATAGTGCTTTAAGTTTATCCTCATTTGTCCTACTAAACTCTAACTTGTATTACTCATGTTTTGGGGCTCATTTTAAATCTTATTTGTTTTTAGCAATAAAACGTTAAAGCTTTGATTAGTGAACAGTGTCATTTACTACGATTCATTGACGAAATGTCTTTACACAACATGAAGCTGAGCGTATGTAACAAGTTATCATACTAACAAACAGTGGAAATAATGGAAGGTCAACATATTTTATATCATCATATTCTATCACCATTTACCGAAAACAGATTTTACACAGATTGATTTACCACTTTCGGGACAGTTTTTATTGTAAATTCTGGATGTTAGTTACTGCCCTAAAACAATCATTTAAATTGTAGATTATGTTCAATATTTTTCCTCAAGAGAATCTATAAATTAGCTCCGCTGTCAAACTTTGCTTGACTGAGAGTCTGTGTTTCTTTGGTACAAATTGGTTCCTTATGTCTGAGGCTGATAAGTACTAAAAAAGACCAAAAGTATACTAATTAATAATCATACCTGGAATTAAGTTACAAACTGTGAGTGTTTTATCAGTACTTTTAAATTTCAAGTATTTAGCATTACTTTTAATTTCAACAACTTTTGTACCGAGAGATAAAAATATGCTATTTTATTCTAATTGTTATGTTAATTTATGGAGAAATTAAGCAGCACAGTTGAAAAACGCCCATATTTGTTTTTGTTATATATTGAAATTGCGCGCTTTAGACGTTTCTTATGCTCTTTTACAAAGGAGAAAAAAGCGTACAATGACATACAGGCGTGATTCCGAATTCTTTCATTCTACTGATGGTCAGAGGTCACCAGATTTATATCAAAGGCAAAATTCTTTATTCCAATTCTGTCAGGTCAAGAGAGAGCATTTTCAGTTTTTTGGGGAAAAAATTAATCTAGAATTTTTATTGCAAAAATAAATCGTTTATTAACGAGTTGTCTTAAATATTCTAAATTACATATATATGTGTGTGTCCATGTGTATACCTTTTTGCCTGTTCTTTTTATTTAGATTTTATAAATTTACCGCCATTATCTGTAATCTTCTGTATGCTGTAATATCTGTAAGTCCACGTATTCCCTCTCCATTTCCTGGTTTCTATTAATTAATTAATTATTATGTACTGATTGTGACATCTTCCAGACAACTTAACAAATGCTTTAGTTACAGAAAAAAAATATTATCCTCGTATAAGATTAGGTAATTATTTTTTTATTATGTCTTAATTCATTTATTTCTATATTTAGAGCATATATTAAGAATAATCGTGGACACTGAAAACTTAAATAATAAATTCCGCGTTTTGTAGAAGTGCGTTAGTTATGTATCACGAGATTTGTGTTCACGTCCCCGTCCTATCACACCGGTAATAAATATAATATGCTTGTCAGAATAAGATTTCTCGTACTGATGTGCATTCTTGTCTGGAAAATTAAAAATGATCTGCGATATAAATACACTATACATTTTTCTGCCTTCTGGCGCTGCTTATACAGCTATTTTTACAAAGTGTCTCCGTGACGTCACAGTCTGTCACCAATGGCCAGTGTTTACATTTTGCGTCAACTAGAACTGTAGAGTACTTCTACTTATTACTGTGATGTTTTTTCCACGTCATCCTCTTCTGTTTTGGTAGACTTTACATTGCTTTTGTATCCAGTCTTCCATTTCACTGCTGCTTGCACAACAAATTTTAAATGAATTTCATTAAAAGTCAGCTTTACGTTAAAAATGTTTGTTTTATACAAGTGTTTTAGGGATAGATCGGAATTAATCATTACCTATGGTTTTGAAAAAACGTCATAAAATCTAGACGAGACGTCATCAAAACATGCGCACCCTGACCAGCACATTTTTCATTAGTCGAAATCATCCGATTGCTTTATCGGGGAATATTTTTTTCTTTACCTTTTTCCTCACATCACTAGTGACCCGGAGTCCCTAGTAATTGTCTGTACATATGAGTAAATAACAATACTGAATAATTATTTTGTGTTAACATATTAATTACAATTTGTTGTCATCAAGACCCACGTTCATATAGAGTTTATAAATAAGTAGACTGTCTATGTTAGGATAGGTGAACGTTCATTAGTCTCCACGCGTCTTCCCTCAATAAGCATTCCTTTAAAATGACAACTTCAATCTTCGTAAGGAATGATCTCATCCATACATTGTTTTAGTTTGGCAGAGACTGTATATATATTACTTATTTAACAAACTGGAACGTTTAGATTGAAAAAACGCCTTTAATAAGAATTACATTTCTTTTTTTAACAGATTATGATGTTACCACGTGATGGCATTCTGTGCACCATGGAAATAAAACTGATATATTTTGTTCTTCTTGGATTATTCCTTGGATTATGTTTGGCAAATGTATCCAACCCTGACAATCCGTCCACGTGCCGTGGATATTGTGAAATATTTAGTGACATATGTAAAAACGGTGGAACTTGTGTGGAAACCTCTCCCTGCAGTAATACTGGGAGATGCAAATGTCCGCCAAATTACGAAGGAGAGCATTGCCAGAAACTGATCAACCCAGATGAGGGAAAATCAAGTCAGTCAGCAAATAAGAAACCAAAGAGGAAACACAGGAACCTTCTACTTCTTTCATTGTTTAAGAGTTTAGCGTTACCCCGATCTGATTCGAAATTTACCAATAATATCGGGGATGAAAGCCCAACTAAAACTTATAAAGATGAGGTTGGAAAATCAAATCCGAAACAGGACACAAACATCGTCAAAACAACCCCATCTACTACCGTCACCACGACAGAAAGACCGACAACTTTAACAGTACCATCAACGACAACCACTGCGAGTACCACCACCACCACTACCACTACAACAGCTGAGACAACCACCGCCAAAACAACTACCACAGACGCATCTGAAGCCCCGGCGACATCTACAGAAAACAGCGACGAAGTGACGACTTCTGCTGGTGATATTCCAGCAAGCACCGCTGAAAGCTACAGCGTGTTCTCTGAAGAACAAACGACCGAAGGAAAAGCAAATGAGTATGAAACGACTACAGAATTCGCAAAAGATCTATTTGTAATGCAGAATACCTCTGAGGCCGACTCCAACATCAATACAAATAAAAACAATTCGCCTTCTGCGGCTGTTCCGGCTCAAACAACACCCTCTGTTCTTCAAATTCCTGACCAGAACAGTAATACAGAAGCAACCGATTCTAAACCCATCACACACGTAACGAGCAACTCTAAATTAAAAACAGGCCAATCTAATCCAACGTTGTTGCCTTCGTTAATTTCGTCAACAGAGAGTTTGTCAACCAAAAAGGAAGAAAAACAAAATATTCTCGAAACAAATATTCCCTCTAAATCAGAAACAATTGAATCCTTGGTAAAAAAAAACAGTATCACATACTACTTTAGGGTCTTTACTTTTCCCGAAGATTGTTGGGACTCCTGACAGAAGTGTGTCAGTGCCGGAACTTCCTCTTATTAACAATAAAAAAGAAAATACAAACTCAGAGAAATTAAGTAACACCTTAACTGTTGAAAACCAACCTCAGTTGTTAGGAACTACAAAGCAAGATTTATCACAAGATAAACTGTCTTCTGCTGTAGAATCGCAAGTGTCAACAACAGCTTCACAAGTATTGAGCAACGCAGAACTTAAGCAAGACTCAGACAAAAAATTTAGTTCTCCATTGCCTGAAACAAAGATTGTGGATAATAAAATCGCTTTTCGTGAACTGGTGGGGGGAAAACCCCAAGTAAGAGGAAGAAAAGATCTTTTAAGTTCTACGACTGTTCCAGAAACTTCAAACCTTCCAGTTTCAACACAGCAATCAAAATCCATTATAAACAACGTCGTAAAGGTTGTAGAAAAGGCTTTAGATAAATCGAAAGTATCTTTGATTAACACTTTACCACCAGAGAAGGCAGAAAGCGATTCCAAGCGTAACTCCACATCTGGTACTGCAGAACCTCCTCAGTCCGAAAACAAACTTTACGATAAAATTACCACACTTACCAACAGGTTGACAAAAGAGTTCGCTAGCAGTCTGAAGAAAATCATCAAATCTGTTTTCACGGAACCGGATTCATCGAACGCAGTGACCCCGGGTAAGGATTCAAATTTCGATGTCATTATTCCTGACAATGTGAATGACTTAAAACAGTTAGACCAACATATGCACAAGATCAAACCTGTGGATAATGAAAAGGACAAAGATATACCAACAAGTTCTCATGCTCCGGACAAAATCGCTGACACCCCCGGGATAAGCCCTACAGTTGCAGGGGAGATGTTACCCGACTCCCAGACGACGGCTGATTACACTGCATCAACGTCAGATGTGCAGTAGTGAACTATTGGCTCTGGGCTAAAAAAGAAATCCCAACAACGCGAGAGTAACGTCCCGGATAGTGTTGTAAAATGGTGTCAGTCGGTGAAATATGCTATTGCTTTTTTCGTCGCTTGTCAGTTTCACGTATTGTGCATTTTGTACAAATACTGTTGTGCATTGCACATCCTGTTTAATAAATGCCCAGATCTATTTGGTGTTTGCTTAAGGGATTTATAAGAACAATGCTGTTGTAAACAGCGCATTATATTTCTCTTAAGGTTTCGAAACGGTGACCTTGTTCGATGGAACGTTGCAGTGGACGAATGCCGAGAGTAGTCGAGTGGATCGTTGAAATCAAGATAGCATCCAATAGGACTTAAAAAGAGGAAGCGATCACGTGATCTGTGATAAGTTTTGTTGAGTTTACGTGCCAAACCCCAGACGAGTACATTACATATCTAGCTGGCCTAGAACCTTGTTGGTATTAGTGTTGTTTTAGTCTATGTTATTATTCTAATCAATAAAAAATATTTATTTATTATCTAAACATTTTTATTTACGTTTCTAAAAATTACTGTTTTCCTATCGTCAAAACAAAATATCTATTCTCTTTTCTTTCAAACATTTAAATGATATGATATCTGATACATAGAATGTAATAGTTCACAAAAACTTTTAAACGGAACGATTCTGTAGTTTCTTTTCTAAGGTTGATATTCTTAAAAATAAAACATATCGCTTTTAAATATTCCACTTTTTTTTCTAAAAATTAACTTTGAATTACCATACCTTTACCGGATTCCTTAACTACATAAAATTCTAACAAAGATACATAGAGGGTTCCAGTCATTGTTCAACCAAGTCTCCTTCTTTACTCTTCTCCAATATAACAACAATGAAGGATAAACTTCAGGAGCACTGTTCAACTTACAGGAGTAACTGTGTCAATCAGATGTGGATACATATTTAACTTAAATGAACTTTTAGAAAAATTGAAATAATATACACTTATCCACTGGGTTTGAGTGGGATAGCTCTTTTATCAAACCCGCGACAGAGAACTATTCCCCGAGGGCTTGCCCGAGGGGAATAGTTTCTGTCAAGGGTTTGATAAAAAAGCTATCCTACTCACATCCAGTGGATAAGCGTTTTATTATACTGATGTATAATATAATTTCTGCGGTTTGAATTTCTTTGGAGTAAGATAATACTGCAAGAATAATCTGAAATCCTGATGACGTCACAATGCTACTGAAGTCATTTGACATCACCATTCGATAGATTTAAGGCTGGAAATCAAAATTGGAGGCAAAAATTGCATGAAAATTTTTCGAGGGTGGATAGCAAAAACTATACCCCGGGGTATAGCTTTGCTATGCTTGAACTATAAAAGATAGCTATTTTACCTTCTGAACTTCATATAGGAAACATTTTAACAGAAGTATAATAAAAATTTTTACCAAAACAAATAGCATCAAATCTTGTGTCCTTTCAACACACTACAACTATTCCTTCGAAAATTTAATTTTAGGCTTTTTGTAACATCAAAGACAACTTCTTTTTTCAATAAAAGTTGAATTGGTAATTTTACATTCGTGATCATTTGTCGTCTGTAGAATTGTTTTGTTCAAATTCTTAATGTACACAAAAGTGCTCCAAGGTAGAAAATAAAAGATGATTGAGTTTCTGATTGACAAAATCTATAAATGTTTTGGAGATCAAATTTTCAAATTATGTACTAAACATGCCCAGTTATAAACAGACCTACTTTTGCATTCAAGACAAATGAAAATAGTATTCAAGCTATAAATTCCATTGAAACAGAACAAAACTGGAGCATAGCAAGCACAGACCTCTTAAACATCAGGGTTTGAATCAGGTGTCATGGAGGAGTGAGTATCTCCTGTCTCATACACAGTGTACTCCCTGTCATAATCAGACAAACAGAAATATGAAGTAGAAATTATTAAAAATCTAAATTAAAAGAATCTCTTAATATGGTTAGTTTTGCATTAATTTATGACTTTCTTTTAACTATTATTAACGATATTCGAGTTCAATACAAAGCTGATGCGATATTTCCATTTGAATTTAAAAAGACATGAAAAGTCCAACAACTGTTTCATATTTGTATACCGGGTACAGTTTTTTACGAAAGACATTCATAGCACACTAACAACAGACGCCGTTCACTTTTTTATCGTAAACTTTTCTTTATATATGTATTTATAGCAATATACTATAATGTATGGAGTTTCTGTTTTAGTTGATCAGAATCGAGAAAGCATGTTCTACGAAACGAGCATATTTTAAATCGAGGCAATTCACAAAGAAGTAACTGATAAAGAAATTCAAAACAGAACTCGTTTAAAGTCATCATTTCGCAAGTTCTAAGATCGACACAATTAATTGTTAGAAAGTACTATGAATCGGTAAGTCGTATGTTTACTGACGTTTTCATACAAATTGTTAAGTCATTACTTTCACATCGAATTGTCTTCTGTTTTTGTATTACCGATTATGACGAGGAGCACAAAATAATTGTGATCAGAAGACACAGGACACTTTATCCTCCATGGCACAGGATCCCATTTCATTTGTTTGAGAGGTCATGCACTATTCGTTCCAATGTACTTTTGAACTTGATTACTGTTTATTATCTCCAAATATTTACTTTACAAAATATTAAGAATGTAGTGATTATCTACCAAAGTAACCAAACATACAGAGTTATTCTGCATTTTGTCTGACCTTTGAACTATTCATGGGTGTCTTTTTTGGTTATTATTATTCAAAACACGTGGCTAATGAAAGGTATAATATATGGGTCGTAAAGATTGATAGGTGCTAGATTCGGAAAAGACAATAAAAGTGTTCAATGACAACTCCTTGGAGAGAGCATACCAAAATATATCTATCATTATTGAGTACATAAAACTGTCCATAGGGTTAAAGAGAGGAATCTGAGGTAAACATTCACCAAATAGAGACATTTTTTGAGGGTACAGAGAGGGTAAAATAGGAATGGAAGCTTAATAGGTAGCATGAATATATGGAGATGACGAATAGTAGTCAAGCAGAAGCAGAATTTGTCCAAAATCATGCATGAAAAGAAAACACTTGCTGTGGCCTTCAGCTCGACATTTAGATATATCGGCGACGTATTGATAATTAACAATGGTAATTTCCATTCTTATGTCAAAACGATATAATGGTGAGCTTGAGATAAACGATACCAAAGAGTCAGATACATCTGTTTCATATTTGGATACTTTACTTGAAAAAGACGTTAATGGTAATCTAAACAACCAAGCTTTATGAAAAAAAGTGATGATTTTAACTTAACAATCGTCAACTTTCCTTACTTATGCAGCAATATACCTTTATCACCTGCATACGGAGTTGATATATCACAGTTGATTCGATACGCAAGAGCATGCTCTACGTATGAACAATTTCTAAAACGAGGTAAATTATTTGGCCAAAAACCAAAGGACAAAATGTCCATTATTTATACACTAAATTGACGACAGATTTTTACGTTATTTCCTGATCATGACAAGGGGCACAGGGTGGGTGTGATCGGTCGGCAGGGGATGCTCACTACTCCATGGCAACTGATCTCACCTCTGATGTTTTGGAGGTCCATGTTTGCTCTGCTCCTATTTTGTATTGTTTTATGGACTTTTGATCTCGAATACTGTTTGTTATCTCCATATGTTTTATTCAAGCTCAAAAGTCCATTAAACAATACAAATTTTGTTGCTGAGCAAACGAGCACCTCTAAAACACGAGAGGTTGGATCAGGCGAAATGGAGGAGTGAGCATCTACTGCCGACCGGTCACACCCGCCGTTTGCTCATTGTCATGATAGGAAATCATGGAAAAATCCGTCGTCAACTCAGTGTATAAATAATGGCCTTACAATTAGTTATTTAAGGAAAAAAGTCAGCCAGTATTTGACTTAATGATAGATTGCATCTGCTGAAAAGGTCATTGTATCTATGCATAGAATTGCATATGAATTTTAATTGAAAAAGCGGCTTTGCAATCTAGGTTATTAGCTAATCAATATATATAGGACTCACGTTGGGCGTCATCGGTCAACAGGGAAAGTCCACACCTTTGATACATAATTAAGACAAGGCCAAATGTTCTTTATTTAAAATGCACCGTAAAATAATACATACAGGATTCGGAAACAAGTTGTAACCATTGATATAAATCCGTTTCCTTAAATTAACTTTCAACGATAAATAAAGAACATTTGCCCTTGTTGAATGACAGGTATAATAGAAACAATACCTGAAAAAATAAAGATGAAACAAAGGCCAAAAAATGGGGAAAAATTAAAGAGAGAGATATAACATGATAAATTTGTTTGATGGGTTTTGTCTGGTATCCCATACAACCATAAATAGCGTAGTGTTCAAAGAAAACCTCCTCAGAAACTATGAGCCTTTTAGATATATATTGTAACTTATCCATGTCACAGCAGAAATACATTAAGAATTAAATGTTTCAGAAACATAAAGTTTTATTATTTTTTATGTGCATGCAGTGTTACTTTTTGTGTTTTTTAGAATTGACTTACATGCTCCTATATTTGAAAATCGAAATCATATTGATGTCAAATCGATTCAAATTTAAATTAAGTCTAATATACATTACAACTATCAAGAAAATCAGTGAAATTCTCAATTTTCTTTTCTTTTTATTCTCTCAATTTTCTTTTTAAAAAAAACAAAAAATAAATTAACAACAAATATTCAATGCATGCATCTTCATGAAAATTTATTTCTTCTTGCTTCCGCTATTTAATGCAATAGTCATTCAATAAATTTGAGCAAAATATTTCAATAAATATGGCCTTATTTGATACTAAATTCATAGAAATGTATTCAATTATTTGATATGCACGAAAACGTCAAACTAGAATTCAATTTCTGTATTTATACGTGTGTCCACGTTCTAGTCCGGGTCTGGCTTACATGATTTATGACCTCGGAAAAAATTTTGGCTCGAATATAACACAAATGTATTCATACAATTCACTCTTTTAATACATAATTTTCTTTTCTAGTTAATAAGGTGGCATATTTATTATAAAGGCATGCCAAATTGGATTTAATTAACGAGTAAGACACAAGTCATTATATGTTAATTATCTAATGATTTTTAGAATTAATACATTTAATAATTTAAATGAAATTATGTGTATCTTCAGCATTACCAGCTGAATGAAGAAAAATAAGGTTTATCATATTTTTGGGATTTTTTTTTCTTGCATGAAATTTGTATCCTTTTAATTTTGTCAGTGTATTAATATATCAATAACTGGAGAAATTTTTTGCATAAATACTTTTACATATTCATATATTTTATTGTTTATTTACATGTGTCTATTTAAGTATCCAATTTATCCTCTTTGATTTGGTTCTGAATTATCTTAGTGTCTCGCCCTGTTTGCGATTCAACTTGATTTTGAAACAAATTTCACGGTTTGCTTCACTTTGTGTTTAAGACAATGGCTTTTTAATT